AATCACACTTCAATTATTTCAGAGGACTTTGGGCAAGGTGCATTCAACTAAGTCGCCCTGACAACACGACCAAATTGCTAAATCGAGTTTAGACCATTTCTATGTGTCGAAAGGAGACTGCGACCAAAACAGACGCCACAACATTTTGGCCTTCATATCTACGAGATGACAATGAGTCGTTCCAAGTTTGACATGGTGGAGGAGTCCACAAAAGCCATTTGTTCAATTTTAAGATTCGGAAGCTGAGAATACAAACTTTGCTTGGCCTCAGGCTAAATGCAAATATATTTTTAAGGAATTCACGTCACCGTAGGTCACTTTAGATGCCGGAAGAACTGACGTTTGAGTCTCCTACAATGAAATTTCACCGAAGTTTACTTGGCTTTTTCCCTTCTTCGTGAAATATGAATTGTGAAAGTCCTGGCTTGCCACACCCACTTAGTTCTTGACGCACAAGAACCGGTTTCGAACAGCGTTGAGATGATGATAAAAAAATCATTAAGAAAAATTCAACTATCCGACCCTTCCTCACCTGTAGCAGCTTAAAGTGGCCCTAACTCTGGAAAAATTGGTACGTAGCATTTTTAACAGCCGAATCGTATTTTCAAGGGTAATTTGAACAACTTAGCAATACTGCATCATCGGCCAATTTCGCTAGAATCGTTAATTAAGTCTACTTTTGTAGACAAGAGTTGGGAAGATGAGGTTGAACGAAAGAGTCCGCAGCCAAACCCAACTTTATACCCTCTTGATGCTCAAATTCAGGCGGCTAGAAGTTACCCCAATCTCCCTTTAGCTTAGCAACATGTAGCAAGACAAAAAGTCTATCAGCGGATGCATTCGAGACGGAACATGTGTTTCGCCAAAGACTCAGTGCTGCTGATATTAATACAATTGTAATGGGTCAATGGAGACATTACGCGTATGAAATTACTCACCTTTGTGTTGAGGAAGCTCCCGTGCTTGTCTGCGCGTCCAACTGTGCAGAGAAAAAGTAAAAAGGTTTAATTTAATATACAGAAAATCGTTTTTCTATCTTATTCCTCATAAGTTGTCCCTTTATGGGCTTATTCAGGGCTTGTCCGAAAAATACAAATAGTGACCTCATGTCTGTGAAAATGGTACGTTTACATTAATTTATGCTCATTAGAAGGCTTAATGGTAGAGCGGAGATTACATGCCACCAGAAGCATTCGCAGTGAATGCTAACACTTTTGGTTAGCCAAGGTTTGGTCGAAATCAATCAGCCAAGGAACCAAGGGTTGAGACGAGTGTGGGCATGTGTGACCCTGAATAAGAGAAGCTGGACGAATGGGGCTAGTCAGAAGAGAGGTACAGTAGTTTCGGTCAAATAAAAAGTCTCGGTAAATCATAAAAATAGGAAGGAAGAGAAAGAGAAAGAGAAAGAAGGTTCACAAGGCACTAGCGTAATTACAGCGAATCCTTGCAAGTCGTCCCATTTTAAAAGTAGGATTTGAGACACACAAAGACATGTGCACACAAACTAGCCCACATAACTGGGCGCAAGAATAGCGATACATGCAAATTTCAGTATGCGGACAAGTCGATACACACACAACCCATCTCGTTTCCCACTTTCGCGCTGATCTCCACTGGCCGATGGTGTCAAGTCGAGGTCATTTATTGCTTTTCAAGGACTGCTTTCTAGACTGAGGAAAGCTGAGAGGGGTGGATATGAAGGAGAGGGTTGAAAGCGAAATTGTGTCCGTAACAGGCGGAATGACGGATCGCAGACTCGCCAAGCGTGTAGGCAGGCGAAAAAGCGTGCTGCTCCATTCGAGCTTCTTCCAGTCGAGTCACTTTGGCAGCAGAACAGAGCACGGGTGTGCAAGTGTGATGCAGGCATGCACGAGGGGAGACTTTTTCCGATGAAAAAGACCATAGTTCAGTGCCTTTGTGTGTACACCTATCCATACAGGCACGTGCACATCATAAGAAACTCAAGTTGCCGAAAACTACTTGACCAGAGTATCTTGCAACGAATACATGAGAAAATAACCAAATTACGCTCAAGTGATTGTGCGTGGACGAATATGTATTAAAATGGAAATTTCCCCGTGAATGTATGGGGGTAGATTACGCACTCAAAACTGTCCGTCTATTCGCTTTGAGTGCAGAAGGAAGAATGCTGCAGAATGAAACGCAAATGAGTAAAAGGGGAACAATGAAGGTCTTGAGACGAATGAGGGAAAGCAACCAAGAGACACTTGGCGGAGCGGTATTGTGGATTGAAAGAAGAGAACAAAGTGGAAAAAGAATGAATTGAAGTGAAATAAAAAAGAGTGGTTTCGGATCGATTTGAGTCAGTTAAATGTTCATTGAGGTGAAAATATAGGAAAATGGACTCTAATTAAAAGAACTCAGAAAGACAATATTTACGGAATAGCCTGACCCAATGCATACCAGTCATCTCGGTTTAAAATGAATTGAAGCCTGTTAATTGAAGAGATGCGAAAGTGGTTTCGCAATAAGTTCTGGTCCAATGAATCTGAACAAACAAGTAACAGTTCTGCCTTGTA